AAAAAAAAAAGGTAATTGCAATTATAGCTATATTTTCTTTCTTTCAGGCCAAACAAGCAATACTAGAAATGGATGCCATTCGTAAGTTTGGTTTTCTTAACACAATTTGAAATTTCATTTTCTTCTTGTATCTATCACATTTTCTATCTTAAAGTTTTTAAGAATCTCAGTTGTAAGTAAGCAGCTGTCTGCTCACTGTTTTAACAAATACAGTCTGCAGACGGTACCATCTCTCCTGACACACTGATTTGCTTCCACACTGATCCCCCCTGCTTTATCTGAGTCACCTGATAGCGGGGCACATGGCTAGGTCTCTGCGAAGAGAAGGCAAGGCCGGGGACAGCCACGTGAGAATTAGGAGGAAGGATTAGGGAAGATGGGATCTGGAGAAGTCAGCTCTTATTGTGATGAGTTCATTCAGTACAATATCTTGTTCCCAGGATCCGGGCTAGCTCTTGGACCACCATTAATATGTTACGGTGCACAGAATAATTTCAAGCCACAAATTAGTGCCGAAATTATGTCTCCCTTCCAGGCCCAGGACTAGGCCCGAGCAGCTCAGCCAGGAAAATAACCCTCTTTGCCCTACCCTGACTTTGGACTTGGCTGAGTGTGAACAGAGTAGGCCAGTCCATTGGACCAAATGACCTCATTTACATAACTTAACCTCTGACACTGGAGATGTATGTGTGGTCTTTACAACCCTCAGAACTCTCTGGAACGTCAGGTGCCTTGAAGAGCGTTAACCCCACTCTGAAGGGCCAATGTACAGCTCCTTCCTTGAATTGTCACCCTCAGGCCTCAGAGTGCAGACGATCATGGAATATGCTGCAGTGATTTAGGATTAGACCAGATTTTCTTGATCCAAAGTCTGGGCACCCCTTAAGTGGGGTTGAAAGACAAACTATGAAATTAAACGAAAAGCCCTTTTCTGAGAAGAGAACCTAAAGCATTCATCAGGTGTTCAAAGTAACAAAGTCTAGACAAGTATTAAGAGTCACCGAACGGGAGGGCAGCTCCCATTGGGGAAGAAAGGGCTTGGCATGGTCACCACGCCCCGCACCAGTGCCTCGGGACATTCTCCAGGTGGTTTTACCCTGACTGGCCCAGGCCCTCTGCTGCGGCCACCACCACCCACCACCTGTCAGGGGCCTCGGTCACAAGTTCAGCCTCAGGGAGTTGTACTTTAATGGCATTTGCTGACCTCCAAGGGTCATGGTGGCAGTAGGAAGTTAAAGAGAGAGAGAGATTAATTTACTGGCAAGTCCCCAGAAACCCCTATGTAAATGAAGTCCTGAGGTACATGTTCAATGCAAATAATGGAAGAAGGGATATCCTGTCTGCAGAAAGAGAGTAGACGCAGAGATGTCCCAAGCCAGTCGCTCCCACCCTCTGAGCAGTCACCCGGCTCTTACAGACGCGGGCCCTCTCTTTGCAGATCACCCCGGCTTCTGCTACAGCCCCGAGGGGCAGGCGAAGACAGTCTCCACTCCCTACCGGCTCAGAAGAAAATCTGGTAACTCAGTGTTGTCATCAGACCTTGATAAGTGTGGGGGGCTAGCGGTGACAGTCCTTTCAGTCTGCCAGAAAGGCATCTTCTTCCCGGTTTGGGGGTCACAGCAGTTCGTGTACGTCGGAGGCTGCACTGAGATGGGGCGCTCAGGCTTCTGTTCTAAAACTCTCTCCTCCTGAACTCTGTTTTCCAGTGAACATGACACATATTAATGCAGTCATTTTGCTTTGCTAGTGTCTTTCCATAGCACACGGGGGCCTAAACCCTATTTACTATCGCTAGTGAAAAAACTGTGTCCTCTAACTGACACATACCAGAGGTTATCCAGCCTTAAAGCTCTAACACAGTCGCTGCGCCAGACTCCAGGGAGTATTATTACTCTTGACAGCCCTTGGATGGTTTCTTTTCCATATGAGTCACTATTTATTGAGTGCCTGCCTAATCTGTGCTAACGACCAGGGTGCAGGAAGAAATAAGACATGGTTCCTGGTCGCAAGGAGTTCATGGTCCAGTGGAGAGTCCAAGACGGTGACTCTACCAGTCCCATGATAGAGCTGCGGGGAACGATGGATGGAAGGGAGCGTGGAGAGTCGAAGGAGCGCGGGAAGGAGCCCCCGGGAAGGGGAGACAGGGCTTCAGAGAGCAGGGACCAGCACCCCTAAGTGGGATCTGGAGGCCGAGGAGGCAGTCCGGGAGGGAATAGACGTGCAGAGGCCCCGAGACTTGAGGCAGCGTATCTCAGATGGGAATGTGTTGTCAGTTGTTCAGACTGGCTGGGATGTGGGATGGAGCTGGGGGAGGGGGT